CTAAAGTTTAAAAGTAGTTATTGACTCTTTCCCCTAACATAAAAATCAAGAAAACCAATAAAGTTCTGTGATAATATAACTTTAATAAAATGTAGTGTTTGTGTGAGGATAATACAGTATTGCTATTTATTGACTCTAGAGTTTTAGGACACACTTATTTGTATGTCTGATTGCCATGGTTTTAGGAAAGTGAGCAACTAGCTACAATACTTATGAACTGAGAGGCAATGATGAGTCTTCAATTTAGAGAAGTTTGTTCGTTATCCTCAAAAAATGCTCTTCCCTAAGTAGATAACAACAATACAGCTTATGGCTACATGGTGGGGCAGACTTGTTGCAACACCTCAGTTAAAGTAACATTTAACTGAATTAAATGAGGAACATTTCTAACTACTCCAAATGACTAGAACAAGCCAACCAGGAAGTTCATGGAACTAGAAATATGATAATTGTTTAACCAACTGGAAGCAGTGGTTAGAGGGCTGCCAAATTAAATTTATATGAAAGTATGACCATTTTAAATCCCTAAGAAAGTCCAACACAGTCTTATTTTACTTCAAGAGGAAGCCTTCCTAAAATCAGTGGCTTGGGAAAAAGAAAGTTAGAAGAAAAATGGGGACAAATATATCCCAAACACTTTGGAAAACTATAATGGAACCCAAACTGGAATGCGTACTGTAGGTTAAAAAAATATACTATTAAAACATTTCATCATGCTAGCTGTTGTATGAATGTAGGTATTTATTGACTCTGGAATCTTAGAACACATTTGTGTTATGCAAAATGCTGTAATACATAATCTGATAATTTTATAACAATGGAAATAGGATGATGATCCTGTGGTTTCTGTTAGCAATTCAAATATTCTCAATATACACTTTTAAAAAAAAAAATAAATGTGTAATTTTTTTTAAATCAAGATTTAACAGGTAGTCAGTGGTTTTCACAGTCCTGAAGTACAATCAGACAACTGAACCATAAAACTGAGTTCAGAAGAACTGTAGAAGTCCAATAAGCTACTATTGGAACAAGAAGCTAGAATGGATAAGACGTTTGTTATAATCCAGTACAGTATTTACATTTTTGGGGGGGGGGCTGAAATTTTAGTTCACTGGGTATACTCATCTGATGCACACTGGCATTAAACACCCTAAACAAGTTTTCTGCAGAACAAATATGCTATTTTTTGCAATGCATATCTGGATGAAGAGGTGCATTATATATTTTAAATCAGCCTAATTCCAATGTCTTTCCCAGTGAGAAGTACAGATATCTGTCTCTTCAGCAGATTGCAGAATGAATCCTTATATATCACATGAGCAGTGGATATATCGTGCACTGTCCTTTTTCTGCTATTTTTTCACAAATCTTATGATCACTGTCAAATGTTCCCCACTTCCTCATGCAGTAACAAATCCAGAGGCAGTACTATAAAGTTTTGTTTCCTTTGGAAGAGAGCTTGTTGGAGACTGTAATTTCTGTTTTATTTACACTGATTCAAGCAGGTCATAATAGAAGCAAAGAAACTCCTGTGTTAGTCAGCAAAATCACTGAGTCTTCATTTGATTCCTGTAAGCAACACTGAAAATCCCCCAAATCTCCCATTCTAGGTAACTATAACAGAATTGACAGTACAATCTTTTTTGCCTCTAAATTAAAAAAAAAATTAGATTGCTTCTCTTCTCTTCTTACTAATAGAATGGCTAGAAAGAGATTTCCAATCATAAAGGAACATTTGTCACTCTACATGACAAACACTTTCATAAGCCAGCTAAACTCACAATATCTTCAAATCACACAGGATTTAGCTGCGTTCTTCATTCACAACCAAGTCCAGGCATATTAGGCTAAGAGAAGAGAGAAAATATGAAAAATTCAAGGAGATTCAGATTAGAAATCATGGGATGGTTTGACTAATCCAGTAATAGGAGGCAATGTTAAACCTTCAGGTTATCAACAGTATTTCAGACACAGTATTTTCAGAGAGATCTGAAAGCTATTAGAAGGAAAAGTAAGAGAAATACAAATTTGTAGGCAAGAATATTGGAAGCTGACTTTTCTATTTATGCAGGATAATTTTTTTAAAACCTCACATTTTTATTTTTACAGTTACAAGTCTCTAATGATTTAGCTCAGCAGGTTCTCAAACCTTAACACTTCTTCTCATTGGCATGATCTATTAACATATACTATAGAGTAATATGATTGACTGGTTTGTATTTAGCTTAGTATGAACCTACAGTATCTCATTATGGTATAGCACCATGAACAAGCTAGTTCACTATGGCTGTTTAAAAAAGAAGAAAAAAACCCTCTGGTTTATAATTATGTGTAAAAAGAGCCATTGTTTTGTTCGCCATGGAAACCCACATTCTGAATTCATATTGACCATATGATTCTTCAGTGCAAGCCCCTCACAAATTCCTCCTTGGTTAATCTCTGAAACATAATGCTCATCACAAGCGTTGAGCCTAAGGCAAGCTAGCCCAACTCTCCAGTAGTGCTGGATAATTTAACACCACACCTGCCTTTTGGTAAAGTAATGGTTCTTTCAAGTCAAACCTGACCCCTGGCAAATAGTTTTCTTGGCAACAGTTCAGAAATACTTTGCCACTGCCTGATGTTTTTTCAACTTCGCAGTCTAGTAGGGAGCCTAGGATTTCTTGATATTCTTTCGTTCAAACACTAATTGGGTCCAACCCTGCTTAATCTTTTCAAGATCAGCCAAGATTGACTAGTTGCTGCAGTCTTCTGTGATGTCTTTTGGTGCTTAGATCAAATCCATCTATTTCCAGTAAATGCACAGAGTTTTTTTTCCCTAATGGGTTGCCTACATATAAGAGCACCCAAGTGCTCGGTATCATCATAAATGCTGGGATATAATTCTGAAATTATCAGTACTGACTGTGCCAAACAATCCCAGGTACAGTCTTCAGAAGCTCACCTGGGAACACTTCTGTTTGTGGCATATACATTCTGGGTACAATTCAAGAAACCAGTGATCACCTTTAAAGGCCTACATGGACTGGGCCTGACTACCTTGAGACAACAGAATCTGCTTGCCCAAGGCACGTCTGCAGAGTTGCTGACAGTTCTCATTCCTTGGTCGGTGTGAGGAGAGGGAACCTGGAGACGAGTATTCTTTGTAGAAGGTCTCATCCTGTGGAAAGGCCTCACACCAGATAGAAGCAGCATACTCTCACACCCTCACATTCAGGAAGCTTTTAAAAACATGGCTTTGGGGGAGTGAACTGAGAGTGGGCAGAGACACGGGGATATGTGATGGCTTTCTGATTTTGATGATATATGGCACGATTGTTTTATGATTACAATATTATGTTTGCCAGACATTTTGATAATTTTTATCACTGTATTATTTGTATGTTCTTGCTTGTAAGCCACAGAGTCAAATGACTGAAGTGACCCCAAAGTTTACCAAAATCCTGTTCTGACTTCCTTGCAGACAGATGAAGCTACACAGATTTCTCTCAGCCCCTTGTCTTCCCTCCTGGAATTTTGCCCACTTATTTATTTTATCTAACTACCTGAAACCACCTGGACTCCAAGCACCTTACAGAGGTTACATATTAGAAACAGGGTAGATATCAGAGTAAAATGATTACAATAGTAACTAGGAATACAAAGCTAAGAAATTATAAAATTGTAAAAGTGGTGGTGCTAATACTATTAATCCCCCAAGGCCTTCTGAAAGAGCTGCGTTTTCACTTGCATCTAGAAAGCCATGAGGATGGGAGCCATTCATGCTTCAGGGAGCAGGCTCTTCCAGATGTGGGGAGCTGCTACAGGGAACAGCCACCATCAGGCCCCTTTATTCTGTACCTCCTGGTTGGTGGGGGTCCTTAGCAGGTGCTCCCTAACTGGGACAGAAGTGAAAATGGCATTGTTTATCCCTTCAACCCCTAAGAAGTGGTAGAAGACAATGCAGCTCATGCTATCCAACTCTAAAATAATATACAGGAATTTCTATAATCCTTTAGGTCTGATTACAGTAACAACTCTGCCTGGGCAAGTTAAGAAACAGGTGATATTTACCCTCTACAGTATGAATTTTCAAAATTAAATTTATATAAGTGAAAACACAAAAGAAGTACATTATTTAAACAAACAGGAGAAGATAAAACATTCATGGTACTTATTAAATAATAAACACTATGAATTTAAGAATTGAAAAAGAAGGTACAACTGATCTTTGCTCACAAGAAGAAGGAAAGGTCTCTAGTACACAATATATTGTATTGGAGATAAAAATTAAATTGTCAAAAATGTTTTCCTCCTCTTCAGTTGGAAGCCCTTTCAGTCAGCAGCAGTTGAACATTCACTTACAGTGGTTTCCTTAAGTACAGTAGATAAATACTACTTGATTTTCCAAATATGTGAGCAAGCAAACTTCATGGCTGGTAAGCAGGCAACACCTTCTCAGCACAGATGAGAAAAAGACCCCCACTCCTGCTGAAAAAGTTTCCATGGTCTGTTGTGCCTTCTGTTCTTTTTGTAAAGTTAACATGTTTCAGGCTCAGTCTGAGAACTCTAAAGGCAATGCGGTAATATTCCTGCCTTGTAAGATGGCAAGTAGAGTCAGGGGAGAAGAGGAGTGAAAAGAACTTTCTGCTTGCAAAGAAAACAGTTCCACTGTTTCTTCCTTCAAGGCCTCATGGATACATGTTAAAAAGTACTTACTTATGTAGATTTTTTTTGGGGGGGGGACCATCAAGGTATCAAAACAAAGCTTTATTCCACAGTCAGCATTTCCACATGTAATGCAATAAGCCCAAAAGGAGAGACTTTATGTTTCAAAACTGGCTTCAGAATATACCCAAAAAACTCAAATGCAAGGACAACCATAGGTCACGCATCACCATTTTTGTAGCCCAAAGGCAAATAACCTGAGCTGAGTGAGTGCAGCAATTCCCCAAATGCAGATACCTCAAAGAGAATACAGCATCCACCCACCCCTTCTCCACCCCCACCCCCAAATACGCCTACCTTTTTGTTGGTGTGGGGGCTCCAGAGGACACATGGGTAACCATGGCATCATTCATGTTAACAAGAGGCCGAGAAGGGCTGAAATAGAAAATGTTTGTTGGATGTTATGCTCCAGTGGGACAGAGTTGGGGGAAAATACTATACACTTAATGGTGACTAAAGTGCTATCTCCTTATCCTTATCCCTTACCTGGCTCCTTTGCCTATTCTACTGCATGCAAGGACCGCTGATATAGGAACCCCGCCTGGCTGCGGCCATGCTTTTTCACCAATTTGTGCCTTTCAGAACCATACCAATACTACCATTTCCAGACAAAGAAAGGGGTTCATGTCACAGGCATTATGGAACTTGTTACGAGTGATACAGAACTCCTGGGAGATAAGATGAAGTGTAAATAATTTAAAACATACAAAACACCTCCCTTTGCACCTCAGATCCAGGCAAGCTAGAAATCCTGCCGTAGAAGGCTTTATTTTCCTTTGGGCTTTTCCAGGCCCTAGCAGGCATCATAAACCAACTGCTGCTCTCAGAAAACAAGGCCATAAAAGTATGGAAGGAATCCACCCTGCTGGAGGCGCAGAATAGTATGTAATTGCAAAAATGCTCATGACCAAAAACCCCAAACAAACAAAAAAAATCCCATCTCAGGTCTCCTTACAAGTAAAATCATGATTATGCATGCTCGCCTCTAGATTTTTCGACATACCAAGTGTTGCAGAAGTAATGAGCCCTTTATAAGATTATTCACAAAAGTAATTGACGGATGCACCACTCTTTTTCAATAAAGATCTGGGGAACATGTCTGAAGTCAGTTCTCTGGGGTTTGGAAGAGTCTTCCAATGACAGAACCAAAGAATGTGCTTTCTTTGCAGCAGGTCAACGATTAATCTCCTTTCCCTCCATATTTCAATCAAGAATGCAAGGAATGCATGAAGAAGTGAAGTTTAATCATTAGGCTCCTCTTCTCAAATCTATTCAGTCTATTAAAGGCTCATGTCAAGTTGCTTGCAGTAAGGCAAAGGGCACCCAGAGTTAGAGGTCAGACTTAGGAGCCTCAGTTGCCTTTAAGATTAGCATGGCTTCCAAAGCCCAAGAGATAAAATACAGTATCATCGCCTCTTCAGCAATCTCAAATTATCCATCAAGCTACAACCAGCATAACCACACACAAAGTGCATATCATCTCCCTTCACTATAACGGATTTTGTCTAGGAAATAACAACAATTTCACTGTAAATCTGTGCGTTAGGAATTAATGAGGACAGATTTTCTGTCTTGTGGAGTTCTCAGCACTTCCACATAAATATCTCCTGCCAATTAGATAGAATCTTGGAATTGGAAGGGGCCACTTTGGCCACTGAGTTCAACCCTCTGTTCAGTGCAGGAATAGAAATTAAAGTATCCCTGACAGATGGTTCAGTCTCCTCTTGAACACATCTTGCAAAGAGAAGTCTACCACTTTGCTAGTAACTGGTTGCTTTTATTCTTAAGATTTCCCCCCCCCCTAACATTTAATGGGAATCTGCTTACTGTAACTTAAAGCCTGGAATAAGGGAAGACAAATCTTGACCTTCTTCTGTTTCACATCCTTCAGGTATTTAAAGAGTACTCTCAGATTACGCCCTGTCTCCCCATCATCTTTTCTCAAGGTTAAATATATACAGTTCCTTCTATGTCTTTTTAAAGGACCTTGTCTCTGGTCCTCTTTCCATTTTCATTGCCCTTCTCTGAACCTATATATTGCCTCAGTGCTGCTACATTAGAGATAGCATGTGGATTGCTCCCAGTATATCTATCTTTTGGCAAACAGGAAGGTCAGGCTAAAGGGCAATCTTACAATGTCTTTGGGGGCAAGTTACTCCCTCGGGAAAAAAATATAGTACCATCGAAAAGGAAGTGTATGCCATCAAATGGGCTATCGAAACCTTCTGAATCTACTTATGGGGTAGAGAGTTTACGGTAGTCACAGGCCACCAGCCTATGAGGTGGCTCCAACAGATGAAAGATACAAATCCAAGACTGACATGGTGGTATCTCTCATTGCAGCCCTACAAATTCAGCATTGCCCATAAAGCAGGACAGCAGAACAAAATTGCGGACTTCCTCTCAAGATTCGGGGAAGATACCAAACTCACCCTCACCTCCTAAGAATTGAAGAAGAGAGAGCAAAGACAAAAAAACCCCACGTTTGTTGTTTTTTTTATAAAGGAGGGAGGTATGTGGAAGGATGGGTTGTAAAAAGAGTGTAGGCAACTGGAATTGTGTACCTTT